GATTTATTATCAGTGTTGAAACTGGTGTGCTGCTTCATATTTTTTTGGAACCTGTGATCCATAAATAAAATAAAAAGTTAAAAAGAACAGAATTTATTCAAAATAGAAATCTTTTCTAACAATATCACTTTTTATCCATTTAACACATCCTTGCTGAATAAAAGTATTCTAAACGTTTCTTTGAAAAAGAAGAAAAAAGAAAAGAAATTTACTGACCCCAAACTTTTTTTTTTTGGGAATAGTTGTGTATATTTAACACCATTTTTATTTTGAATAAATACTGATCTTATTTATCAAAGAATCCTGAAAAAATGTCCTAAAAAATATTAAGCAACACAACTGTTTCCAACATTGATTATAAATCAGCATATTAGAATGATTTGTGAAGATCATGTGACACTGAAATCTGGAATAATGATGCTGAATATCCAGCTTTGCTTCACAGGAATAAATAATATTTTAAAGTATATTAAAATAGAAAACGGTTTTGTTAAAATTGCAATAATTGGCTATTTCACAAAATTACTGTTTTTTTTTCTGTATTTTTGATCAAATAAATGCAGGCTTGATGAGCATAAGAACCTCTTTAAAAAACATAAAAAATCTTACTGTTCCCAAACTTTTGAACGGCAGTGTATATATTCATATATATATATATATATGCTATAGGCCAGTGGTTCTCAAACTGGGGTACGTGAGATGAAGGTGGGGGGTACACGATAATACCCCATAAGTAATACCCCATCTTAAAGCAACATTAAAACCGAACGTATTTCTGACAAGCAAAATGCTTCTAGTGTAAAAACAGGAAAATGGGGGTACTGTAAACGGTCAAATACACAATATCCAATCAGCTTACCTCATCTTTTGCGGTCAGAACTGACGGCATCCACACACAAGCAGCGTGCATGTGATAGGATGCCCGCTGAATATGCAGCTTTAGCAAATCACGCAACATTAAAACCGAACGTATTTCTGACAAGCAAAATGCTTCTAGTGTAAAAACAGGAAAATGGGGGTACTGTAAACGGTCAAATACACAATATCCAATCAGCACTCGGTGCGTGTTATTGTGTTCATGTTTAAGATACGAGCAAGAATGAGAATTTCCCTGAATATCCAAACGATGGCAAATGTACCATTCATTTTTACAACAGTTCAGCAAAAAAGGTAATATTAAGTGAACATTTTAAATGTAGCCTACATTTTGAACAGATATTGTCATGTTAGTTCTATTTTGCAACGAAATAATAATTCCAACGAAAATCCGTATCACCTCCAAGCAACATACAGCGGTGTTTCGTTAGTTAATGAATCTGCGGCTTTGAACGATTTGGAGGGTCAGTGATTAATAACCCATTCATAACTACAGCATTTTGCTTCGTTTCTGAATGAATGAATGAATGAATGAATGACACGGCGCCTGGCTTAAGACAGCAACTTGCCGCCACCTATTGGCGGTTTTATTTTTAAATCTACAAGTATCACTTTGATATGCCTTTATTTATTATATTAATAATACACTTAATGAAATGTTAAGAATATGACAGAAACCATGAGATACAATTAATAAGGATAGAAAATATTTGCCTCTATAAAGGTAAAAAATGCACCTGTAAATTAATTTAAGGGGGCAATTAATGTCCTTTAATAGAAAAGGTGTGATTGCAGTCTAAGAGTGGAAGAGAGGGGGTACGCAGAAGAATGTTAAATGCCCCGGGGGTACGCTGCTGTAAAAAGTTTGAGAACCACTGCTGTAGGCAAGCTCATGAACCGTTAAATATTCTCCCGTTGTGCAATACAAATATGTGCAATAACCTTATACTATTTATCTCTTTACATCCTAGTACATCCCTACAACTTTATTTTTTATTCTATTCATATTCTACAGTATTTTAGCTATAGCACACCTGTACATATTTATACTTTGTGTGTGTGTGAATGCGTGCTTTATTTATATTTATACATATGTGTATTTTATTCACATCTTATTTTTATTATCTGTGTGTTGTTGTTGTCTCCGTGTACTGGAAGCTTGTGACACTAAAACAAATTCCTTGTATGTGCAAACATACTTGGCAATAAAGCTCTTTCTGTCTTCTGATATGAATACCTACAGTAGGCCTACTACAGTATATATGAAAATGCATATTTTTCAATTAAAGAGAACTTCTAGATTAAATATGGACTTCTTTGGGTGCTTTGGTCATTGTGTGTTTTAAGAATGATATTCAAGGTTAAGACTACGCTGGAAGTGACTTAAATGTAAATTGGTTTATCTAGGTGTATACATTAGAGAAAGAGGACTTTCCTCATTGATCACGTCTTCAGGTAAAATGCACGTTTTCTTGCGTGGCTGGATGTTGGAATCACGTTGTTTGCATTCGCTCAAACTGATTTGCTGAAGTCGAAACGCGGTCGTTAAAAAACCCAACTCTGTTCACAAATCAAACACTTGTCAAAAAAGAATGCTTAATTCTCAATTTAGAGTTTGTTATTCGTATGGTCTAGGTGTTTATACGGCATATGCCTTAAATACGGGACAAACTGCGTTCCGTATAGCTTTCATAAGGAATGCTTCTTTGATGCCTTAAATACGGGACGATTCCGTATTATACAGAACGGTTGGCAACCCTAGCTGTTTGACTCGGTCTGTCTCTCCGCACAGAGCCGCTGTTTCGTGGATCATCGCAGGGTGAAGGTAGCGGCGGGATCAGGGGGGGACGGAGCCTCCTCCTTCCACAGCGAGCCCCGGAAAGAGTGGGGCGGTCCGGACGGGGGAAACGGAGGAGCCGGAGGAGACATCATCATCAAAGGTCATGATTAAACCATGGATTACACACTCATTATTATTATTATTATTATTATTATTATTATTTCCTGCCAGCTGAACCTCCTTTGTCATAACATTTATTTGAAGTACCCTATGAGATTTTAAGTTTGTAGTTGAATTATTTAACAGCACATATATTCATGGTTCTCTAATATACACCCACTACTGTAAAAATACAGGTGTGCTGTAAAATAATAAATATTTAAATGTACAGTGGAAAACTTTGCTTTGGCTTTAAAGTGGACTCGGACCTCTTTTTAGTTGTGATAGTGTCTTATTCTCAGTCACCTTATCTTACATCTGCACAGTAAAAAATTAAATCATCATAATTATATTTTACTCTAATGTAGTGTAATTACAGTACGTATATCTTAATTTCTTCACTTGTAAGGTGTGAAAGTATTCCTGTGTGGCCTAGTTCTCCACCTAGGGGCCACAAACCGCCTGCCAGAGCGGAGGAGCTGAAACTCGGTGTGTAAAGGAACAATCTCTAATAATAAAACTCGCCTTATGCTGCAACTGCACCTGCGGCGTTAGGTTGTGATTCACCTATCGTCTTACTAGCCCACGTGACAATTTGGTTCAAAGAATTTTTGTTCTTCAAAGACAAACTACTAGGGCTGCACGATTGACAAAAATAATATCGTTTACATAATTGTCGATTATTCCCTTGAAATTGTAATTGCGATTAATTACGATTATCACAATTTACATTGAATGATGTTTATACCATTGTTTGATGCAGCTGCATGCTGTATTTTTATATGAACATAAACGAGCTGAAAACACTGACTGAAAAGCCTTTAGTGCTTTTCTGTAGTATTAAGCCTCAAATGTCAAATATACTTCAAATTGGTTTCTTCTTTAAATTATAAAAAAGTAAAAATATGAATGGTATTATAATGTTATATTAAAACAATGGAAAAACCCTTAAGATAACATGCAGGAAGAAAAAAACATATCTTAAGCACGCAGAATAACATAAGTGGACTTTGAACGAGTAATTGCCGCTTTGAACGATTACTTAATTGTGGCATCCATAATTGTAATTGCGATTAGAAACTCGATTAATTGTGCAGCCCTACAAACTACCAAACCATGACACAAGGGAATATGACAAGACTGATGCATTAAAAGCCCGATAAAAGAGTGTCCTCATGGATTCATCAGTGTGAAATCTGGACAGCTTTCTGTGGCAAAACAGTTGGTTCTCGCTCATGTCCCTTTTTACATCCCAGTTCTTTTCTAAAGTCAGTTCAGAATCGATGACTGTCCCAAGATATTTGTAGTATAATGTAATAAAGTCATTCTCGTCAATTTCAGTGCTTCCCTAGTTAGATGTTTTCATCAGGTTAATAGTGCAGTCGGGCAAGTAAAATTCCCTGTCTTTTGCCCCTTCAAACACATTGGACACAACATTGCTTACATAATTTTGTCTATGTAACCTTCAAGATGTGACATGCCTAAAAAGTTGGATGCGCCTGAGCTCAATCTCAAGTGTCATAGCAGGGTTTTCACACTTCTCCATTTGAATTCATCTGAATGCATCCAGCACCTTTCCGTCGCTCTTCTGTGCAGTGGACCAGCAGGAGAAATCACTGTCCTCTGTGTCAACGGTGTATCGTGGGAAAGATGGAGAGGCAGGAAGCAGTCAGAACCGCTTTGGACGCAATGCCAGCCCCACCTACATCGCAGTGAGTCTCCCTCACAAACACATGCAGGGTTTACCAGCTACAGAAGTTACGTGCACTGAGTAACGCTCTGAACGCAGGTTCCTGTCGGCACGCTTGTGAAAGAGGAGGGCAGCACGCTGGCAGACCTGGCGCAGCACGGCCAGCTGTATACGGTGGCGTACGGAGGTGCGGGGGGGAAGGGGAACCGCTTTTTCCTGTCCAATGAGAACAGAGCGCCCCTGTGCGCCACGCCCGGAGAGAAGGGCCAGGAGCGCGTGGTTCAGCTGGAGCTGCGCACCATGGCCCACGCCGCGCTGGTCAGTGCTAAACCAGTCTCCAAAATCATCCTCTCACCTTCATCTCCTTCCAGACCTGCATGCACTTGTCCTTTCTGTGGAAGATATTATGAAGAATGCTGGTAATCCATCAGTTGTTGGCCACCATTGACTTACAGAGTATTTTCTCCCTACCAGGGCCTAAAACTAACTTTTTGCCACACCTGCCAACGGCCGGTGACGTGATTAAAATTTACCAGCCAAAATATTTTTTACCCGCCATGAAACATCAAACTTTTTGCAAAAACAGGCAGTCATTACTACTGAGTCAACACACTACTATTTACAATGTTTTTAATTTGTCCTTTACTTTACTTACAAGAAAAAAAAAAAATTATTGATATATATATATATATATACAGTGGTGTGAAAAAGTGTTGGCCCCCTTCCTGTTTTTTTTTTTTTTGCATATTTGTCACACTTAAAAGATTCAGATCATCAAACAAATTGTAATATTACACAAAGATAATGCAAGTAAATACAAAATGCAGTTTTTAAATGATTATTTATTTTATTAAGGGAAAAAAGCTGTCCAAATCTGCCTGGCCCTACGTGAAAAAGTAATTGCCCCTAAATCTAATAACTGGTTGTGCCACGCTTTGCAGCAACAACTGCAATCAAGTGTTTGCGATAACTGGCCATGAGTCTTTCATATCGCTGTGGAGGAGCGCCCACTTTTTGGCCCACTCTTCTTTGCAGAATTGTTTTAATTCAGCCACATTGGAGGGTTTTCGAGCATGAATGGACATATATATATATATATATATATATATGTATATGTGTCCCTAAAAAATGTTGAGCTTCTTGTTCGGCAAACGGAGCAGGTTATCGTGTTACACCTGTTTCACACATACTCAGTTTGCAGTGTGTATGTGGTGCGTATTTTTTTCCGCATCCATGTTAACAGATTAGAGCAGGGCTATATAATTAGCTTCATTTGAGGGCCGGATTATCAAACAGAAAATTTGAAGGGGGCCGTCCTGATCTCTTTCTGGGGGGGACCTATAAAATTAGAAATTAAGTTGAAATGGGAAACATTAGTGCTGTCTGTCAATCGATTAAGAAAAATAATTAATCACACATTTTCCTGTAATTAATCATGATTTATCACATTTATAGTCGCAATTTCACACTGAACCTCCAAATTAATAATTAAAACATAAAGATAGTATATTATAAATGTTTAAATGGCATCTTTTTACTAAGTAGTATATTATTAATGAAATATTGATACCAATAGTGCTACTGGTGTCTCTACATTTTCCCTCAATTTTCCCTATTAGTTATAGCTATTCAACATTACAGTATAATTGAAAGCCATTCATTTTTACATTTAATAGGCTCTGAAATATTAAGTGATTTTAAAACAATCTTCACATAAACTATAAGTTGTATATGCATAAACTATACAGATTCATCTTTATTCAAGCTACAAAAGTTAATCCGCGACTAGAGCGGTCCAGTGATTTCTCTTTTTCTTTCGTTCTTTGATTTACATCAATGACTGACTTCAGCAGGTTTCACTTTAAAATCAGCGCTGTCTCTTCAAAACCTGATGCACATGACGCGGATCTGTCACACATCTTCTCCACATTCTTTTTATGGTCATTTAAGACTTTATAGCTCATTTAAGACTACTTTTAAGCAGTTACTCACCAAAACCACGTATTTTGACATAATTGTGTGTTTTCGTGTGTTGAAGCGCTACTGGTGCGCTGTCTGAAGCGGCTCAGCGTCTGTGTCACAGCCAAACGAGCAACCTTTCAAACTATACTTCACTGCACCGTTTCTGCGGCGTAACCCAGGCATGTGTCGCCACATTCTTGGATTATGAAGAATAAAGAAGGGAAAAGTTAATCTTCCGAAATGAAGCAGCAATAACTTCTCAGGTAAACGTTATTAGAACCGTGTCTGGGACAAGCTGGCCATCACACTGCTCTGACCTTATCAGCCCGTTTGTATCCTATTATTTGATTCGCTCTTGTCGCTTATGACAGAACAGCTAACCACGGTGATCTTGTCTTCGGAAAATATTATTTTATTCGCTTGCGTCAGAAACAGCGAATCTCTTTAAAAACGGCTGTTGTTTCCACTACATTGCATTGTTATATTTCGTAAAAGTTTTACCCGCCAACTGGCGACTGACACTGTTACATATACTCGCCAATGCTGATTTTTACCCGCATTTGGCGCTTGGCGAGTGTTAATTTTAGGCCCTGCTCCCTACTCTGGAAGTCAATGGTGGCCAACAACTGTCTGATTACCAGCATTCTTCATTATATCTTTCTTCGAGGTCATCATAAGAAAGAAACTTACACGGGTTTGGAACGACACAAGGGTAAATGATGACACCAGTTTTCATTTTGGGGTGAACTTTTCCTTTAACTGTGGAAGACCAATGGTTAATTTTAATAAACCTCAAACAGTCAGAATATAATTAAATTTCACCATATAAAATTAGGTTAATTTTTACAGATGTTACTGTTTTTGATAATGAATGACTTGATTGTACAGAATTTGTCTGGAACCTCCTCCAAAGCCTCAAAAGGAGGTTTGCAGAGCGCTTCCAAAACCACGGCCAAATCCCAGTCCAATAGAGTGGCAAGAGGTCACGGGCGGGGAGACGTATTCACCAAACATGTTCTCTTACCACTAAGAGTTCATGACCTTGTTGCTGTGGATGATGTCAGCATACTTACTAACTATGCACACAGGGATTGGCTGATAGTCTCTGTCAGAGATTAATGCTGCGTTCACGCCATATCGTAATTACCGTCATTTCGAGATGACTGCACGTGACGTTCTATTTAAAAAACTCGGAATTATGCTTTTCTATGGCAACACTCATCGCCTAAACCGAGCCTGCGGTGGTCAGGTGGTACAAGTCGTAGCTCTCAGAAAACTCCCAGTTCACAAGTTGTAGTTACGAGTTCTACGGGGACGTGAACGCTTTTTACAAGTTGGAATCTCGTAATTACGGGAATTCCAATATGGCGTGAACGCACTCTTATTCATAGAAATATTGTAGAGCACAATATTATGTTGCTGTATTCAAATAAAGGTTTAAAAATAAAAATGTTAATTGCCACATTCAAATAAATATTTAAAAATGCAAGCTAAGAGTCACTAATTCAACAAGTATATGTTCATCTAATTGTCAGCCTCTTACATGTATGCTTCTTGAAAACAATTAGTGAATATGCATATCAACAGCCTTTTAATTAACGGAGTAGAATAATCGTGGCTGATAGTAAGTTATGCAAATGTTAAAGAAAACCAAACTGGACGCAAGAACAGCCGTTACGTCTTGCCCATCTGGTTAATGAAAACAAGGATATAGGCTAATCAAAGGAAAATTGTCCCCGACAAGTTCTACAACAGTCATAATACCCCCACGATTAAGGCGATAAACCTTTTTAAAAGCTCATTATCGTCAAATGTTTCTAAAATGTTTACATTCAGAGCAATAACTGCTATTTGAGGATAGTTTGTGGCTTGGTCTTAGTGACTTAAGAGTCCTCTTCACTGCTCCTAACCTTTCACAGATTTAGGAGCTAGTTTTAGAGCTAAAACACTTTGTGAAATACTCTTAGAACAAACATTTAGGAGTCCTAAATTTAGGACTGACACACCCATTATTTGTAATATTTTCTCCTAAATCGGCGAGTTATGAGCTACTTTTAGCCTTAAGATTGCAAGATTTTTTTGCCCATATCGCCCAGCCCTATGACCAAATAACTTTTTTTTTTTAACTAATTTATTTTATTATATTATAATAATACGTAATAAATAATAATATAATAAATATTACATAGTATTATTAAATATTTGTTAAATCTTTTATCTATTACATTTAGGTCTATTTATCTCTTTAAATATATTTAACTTAATTTAATTAATCTATTTTATTTTAAATCTATTTAATTAATTAATTATATTTAATTAATAGATCTAATTACATCACACATAGATAAAAACTGCTGTTTCTGTCAATGTTCCAGTGAAACATACCACTCATAAAAAAAGCTAAATGGTCACATTTTAAACATTTAAATATGACACTATTTTAACACCTAAATGTTTCATAAAAATAGACGTGATGTTTAATTTTTTTTTTAAATCAGAATGTTTATTTGTTGTTTAGTTTATAGAACAGAAGTTTATATGTTCTTACGTCGATTTCCTGAACCTGTTCTGCACGTTGTACAGACGTTCAAATTTTGAACTGCATTTCTACGTCCAAGGGGCGTCGTAGTCAGACGTCCAGATACCGTACCGGATTTGCACATCGATTAGACGTACAGATACGGTCCTGGACCGACTGACGCAATATAGACATGATCTGCACGTCGGGCCGAAGTCTCATGTTTGTTGGGTATCCACTGAATAAAAATGCAAGTGATCGCGCTGGCGCATCCATGTCCTGCAAAGCGCTTCAGCTTCCACTCTCTGCGCAAACTATTGGATATAGCGCACATTTAGCTAGGTTTAACGTTTAAACATTGTTATATTCTTGAACCGTTTTATTTCTATAGTCAAGTCGTGATGATTTGAGAAGGCTAAATTGATCAAACATAGGCTCACTGTCTGCCGCTGGCCACTTGGTCATTACTTTAAATGCTAAAATCAAAGTATGTTTTTTCTTTTTTTTTCTGTTGTGTAATCGACTATTGTTTTCAGTGTCAACTAGTAGGAGCTGTACCGTTTAGTTGACTAGTCGACTAGACCCGCACATCCCTAATACATACACATCTGACATGAGAACAGAAAAAAACTAACAAAAAAAACATTTAAATAGTAAACTTAACAATAAATAATGTGTATGAATCCGGAACAGTAGATTTATGTACAGATTATGTAAACTTGACTGACTGCTTCATTTCCACTTTAAACGTTCAAATACACATAGTTATGTGAAAAAATGCCCGTCTTTGAGAGTGTCCTCGTTAACACAGTCATTTGTGTCTTAAATGAATGTTAATAGTTAAAGATAAAGCATGTGTAGAGTTAGGCTATATGAGATCCTGGATTATATGATGAGATCTTAAAAGGATAGTTCGCCCAAAAATGAAGATACTGTCATCATATACTTATCCTGAAATTGTTCTAAACCTCTATGAATTTCCTTTTCCTCCTCAACATAAAAGAAGATATTCTGAAAAATGATCATAACCAGTTTCTGGTCCCCATTGACTCCAATAGTGTATTTTTTTCATATATGGAATGGGGTCAGATTACCAGTATTGTTTCAAATATATTCTTTTGTGTTCAACAGCAGAAGGAATCTCATACAGGTTTACAACATCAACAGAATTTTCATTTCTGTCCAGAAACGTAGCAAGGAGATCGGTAAAATAATCCATGTGACATCAGGGGTTCAACCGTAATTTTACGAAGCTACGACAATTTGTTGAATAAAGTTTTCTTTGCGCACAAAAAGTATTCTCGTAGCTTCGTAAAATTACGGTTGAACCCCTGATGTCACATGGATTATTTTATCGATCTCCTTGCTACGCTTCTGGACCTTGATCGTGATAATTACATTGCGGTCTATGGGAGGGTCAGAGAGCTCTCGGGATGCATAAAAAATATTTTAATTTGTGTTCCGAAGATGAACAGAGGTCTTACGGGTTTAGAACGACATGAGGGTGAGTAATTGATGACAGAATTTTCATTTTTGGGTGAACTATCCCTTTAATGCGGCCCTGTCCGTCCGTACGCATGCTTAGTGAATCAGACCCATTGTCACAGTTCATTATGGAAGGCCATCTGGATTTCACCAAACACATATTTATTGCCAGACAACGTGAAGGAAGTAACCTTTAAAATTTGACACAGATACTACTCCGTAAATCATGTTCTTGTTAAATTTAGAAAGGATATTGGTTTGAGCTGTTCTTTGTGTAATAGAATGAATTAAACTTTCAGTTTTTGGCACTGCTCTCATGGAAGAAAATTCTGGAAAGATTTGTGTAGATTTATCATTCATAATATTGACCACACTTTTTCTTTGTGCTTAGAGATTGTCATGTTTGGATTTACTAATATTACCACCAGTGTTGCCAAACCCCTCCCTCAGAAAATCTATTTGTTTCACAAAAAGTCGCCAAATATGAAAACAAAGTATATACAGGTAAATTTGGTAAAGGTAAAGGAAAGTAAATATATATATATATATATATATATATATATATATATATATATATATATATATATATACTTTACAAATGATGACAATATAACAATATTTACTTTCCTTTACCTTTACCAAATTTACCTGTATATACTTTGTTTTCATATTTGGCGACTTTTTGTGAAACAAATAGATTTTCTGAGGGAGGGGTTTGGCAACACTGGCGGTAATATTAGTAAATCCAAACATGACAATCTCTAAGCACAAAGAAAAAGTGTGGTCAATATTATGAATATATATATATATATATATATATATATATACTTTTCAAATGATGACAATATAAAAAAAAATAACAAAAGATTAAGTATAACAAAAAATTCTGACGTGAAATTAGGAAATGCTTGTGATCTGCAAGCACATCAAACATGATGAAAATGATGGAAAGACACAAAAGACATAATGTTGGGAATTTGTTTCATGTGTCACCAAAGTGCATCCCTGTCCTGTTCAAATACAACAGATAAGAGATGTTATTATTCTCCAAAAACAAAAAATGTATTCATACAAACTTATTTCAGTCAACACACTTACCTACAGTTGTGGCTGTGTGAAGAAGCCCGTTGCTACTCGAACCTGTACAATTCGTCGATAAAACAATATAAAGACAGCCAGATGTGCAATAACTCTGGGCAATTCTTTGTTCACATGTTTGTTTATTGTTCAAGGCGATTTACTACGCATATATGGAACACGTCCGCGGAGCGGACAGTTTCAGTAGTATAATTGCTAGTACAGATAAGAGATATTATGATTCTCCAAAAACAAAAAAATTTATTCATACAAACTTATTACAGTCAACACACTTTATTACTACAAAGTAAGTGCAAAATACTGCATCCCAACACACATGACACGATGATGCACTGTGTCTCTCTCTCTCAGTATCTGCTTGACATGACTGTGCATGAATTGTGGTATAACTTGTGTCCGTGGTTAAAACAAGATGTTCATTGTTGAACTTGGTTGATGCTTATAATGAAATTGTGGTGGCATGGCAGGCGTGGGGTACTGGTGTGTTGACTGTGCACTCATTGGCATGATTGAGAGCAAACGTGAGAGGTCACGGGCCTACGGCAGGGTGTGGCCAAGTAAAAAATAAAAAATCTCCAAAAAATCGCTAGTTTTATTTAAATATAGCTAAAACAGCTCCTTGTCGCAAAAAATAAAAAAAGTCACAGCTACAGTGAGAAAGTAGCTAAATTTGGCGACAAAATCTCCAAATTGGCAACACTGATTACCGCAGAGAAAAGTATACTCTGCCCAACATTATAATTGTTCACTTAATGAACACTCATCAAGACAAGTATTTTAACACCATTGTGTGCATCGGGGTCTCCTGTTTATTTGCAACATTTATATTAACAATAATAACAATTTTCTGCTAATGGGCTGATGGTAGGCATGCTGCATTGTCATGGTAAATGCCTATTATTATTATTATTATTATTATTATTATTAAATAACAGAGGTAGAATAGAGAAGCTAAATGAGGCATGAAGCATCAACTACAAAAATTACTACACACATCTGGAGATGATTTTAAGCAAAACGGTTGAAAACCCATAAATAAAATGAGTTGTTTATGCTAGTATCAGCCCGACACAGTTATCATTTTGCACCATGTTGTTTAAAAGGTAAATGCATTTGCGGTCATGGGCGTGCTGGTCTGAAAACCAGCACTGCTGGCGCGTTGCTATTTTGAGGCATCTTTTTTGTTATTTAAAGAGTGCATTAGTAATATGCACCTATAGGTGGGTACACAGAGAGTGTACACTCTGCTTATTACACACACAGGGATGCGCAGCAGCACACAAACATGCCAAATATTACAAACTAAAGGATTACAATGTAAAAGATTATTGTTGTGTAGGCTGCATAAAGATAAAAATGTCATAATGGATAGTCATTGCATGTATCAGAATTAGGCTACCTATTTGCTTGTGCACGAGCAGCTCTCTTTCCTCTCTGGAGATGCGTTCTGTCTTTGCGCTTGCAAATTCCGCCGTGTAAATAGCGAATCCACCATGGCACGAGCACAACTGTCTCTTAAAGGGAATGGGAGATGAGACTCTGATTGGTTTATTGCACGTTTCGCACAAAACACACCCATTACTCATTAAGAGAATAGGGACAACCCTTTTAGACCATGCGCTGAGCACGCCGACCGCCTTTCCCATTGTTAAACTAGCAAAAGTGGATTCGGACACACCCTGAGTGCACCTGCGCCGTGCATTTTAGACCAAGTGCTTAGATCGTTAAAATAGGGCCCATAAAGTTTGGTGTCAGAATGCCAAAGCTTTGCAGAGAAACAGCCTCAGACAGAGTTTGTCAATTCACTGATGCAGTAAATAAAGACTGAAATCAAAACTTTTTTCCAAATTTCAAAAGTAAAATTTGGAGATAATCGAACCAATGGTATGGGAGGAGTTCGAAAAAGTAGGTTTTTAGAAAAAAAAAAGGACACAGATGCTTACACTGCGCCTGCACACAGAATCACATACAGCACAGGACACAGAGGCTTACACAGCGCCTGCACACAGAATCACATACAGCACAGGATACAGAGGCTAACACTGCGCCTGCACACAGAATCACATACAGCACAGGACACAGAGGCTTACACAGCGCCTGCACACAGAATCACATACAGCACAGGACACAGAGGCTTACACAGCGCCTGCACACAGAATCACATACAGCACAGGACACAGAGGCTTACACAGCGCCTGCACACAGAATCACATACAGCACAGGACACAGAGGCTAACACTGCGCCTGCACACAGAATCACATACAGCACAGGACACAGAGGCTTACACAGCGCCTGCACACAGAATCACATACAGCACAGGACACAGAGGCTTACACAGCGCCTGCACACAGAATCACATACAGCACAGGACACAGAGGCTTACACAGCGCCTGCACACAGAATCACATACAGCACATTATACAGCGCCTGCACACAGAATCACATACAGCACATTATACAGCGCCTGCACACAGAATCACATACAGCACATTATACAGCGCCTGCACACAGAATCACATACAGCACATTATACAGCGCCTGCACACAGAATCACATACAGCACATTATACAGCGCCTGCACACAGAATCACATACAGCACATTATACAGCGCCTGCACACAGAATCACATACAGCACAGGACACAGAGGCTTACACAGCGCCTGCACACAGAATCACATACTACGGGACACATTATAAATGGCACGTATGGCCACCCTAGTTAATGTACTCGTATATTGAGACAGCCGAGGCTGAAAACACAGCTTCAGTGTGTGTGTGTGTGTGTGTAGGAAACAAAACCACATGTTTGCACCATTCATTCACACAGAGATATGCAATGCAGGATTCATATTCAAATAGTATTTTTGCGGCTTAAAGGGGTCATATGATGCGATTTCAATTTTTCCTTTCTCTTTGGAGTGTTACAAGCTCTTGGTGCATAAAGAAGATCTGTAAAGTTGCAAAGACTAAAGTCTCAAATCCAAAGAGATATACTGAAATCAAAACTTTTTTCAAAAGTAAAATTTGGAGAAAATCGGACCAATGGTATGGGAGGAGTTCGAAAAAGTAGGTTTTTAGTAAAATTTAAAAGTGGCAGGAAAATTTTCATGATGAAAACTAACGATCACAGTAGGTGCATGGCCTTTAACAAAAGTGTTGTTTTACTTATTTACGTTTGATCAAGTTAAAAAAAATAAAAATTAATTTTTTTCTCAGAACATGGCATAACGGGGCCAGGGCTGCCGCACCTCACCGAAGCACTTCTGGAGAAGATGGGCATTTTGTAAGTGTTACTTCATTACAGTAATTAACAAAAACCAAGAAACAGAAATTCTCTGAACACAGTGTATTTTCCAGTGTATGTTTGCAGTTGAGCTGTAATTGCACTAACTCTGCATCTGCTCGCTCAGGCCTCTGGGGTCACGCCTGCAGATCCTGCGCTGCCTTCAGAAGCTCTGGCAGGTCTCAGATAAGTCAATGAAGGTACGGCGACGCTGTGAATGCTCATGTGTCTCTAATGCTGGCGGCAGACCTCCCAGAGCTGGTGTGTTTGTGTGCAGGTGTTGAACGACCCCATCCACGGCCACATCGAGCTGCACCCCCTGCTGCTGCGCTTCATAGACACGCCTCAGTTCCAAAGGCTGCGCCACATCAAGCAGCTGGGAGGAGCCTACCTGGTGTTCCCCGGTGCATCCCACAACCGCTTCGAGCACTCCATCGGGTGCGTGCGCATGCGCCAGGACACAGAGGCTTACACAGCGCCTGCACACAGAATCACATACTACGGGACACATTATAAATGGCACGTATGGCCACCCTAGTTAATGTACTCGTATATTGAGACAGCCGAGGCTGAAAACACAGCTTCAGTGTGTGTGTGTGTGTACCCGGGGTCGTCACATGTGGTTGCAGCAAGCCTGCCGGACGCTCCTTTGTCGAATCCGCCGGGCGCGCCATTCTCAAGCCCGCCCGGCGCCGCTCACTCTAGCCCGCTGTGTGTGACGCTGTGTTTCGGTGTGAAAGCGGGTGTACTTTGTTTGGTATTCCAAAAGAGGACAATACTAGAAATCAGTGGTTAAGTTGTATTTACAACACTGTTCCAGAACACTTCAACCCAAATATTCAGATGTGTGCAGCACATTTTATGGAGGACTGTTTCCTGATCCTGGGAGAGTAGACTACAATGCCGGCTGTTCTGACTTACAGACTGTAAGTATGTTTTCATATTTAAAGAATTTGCCACTGACGATTCAAATGCGAGTTTTGGGCAGTGTATAGTAGCACTTGTTGTTTGTCATTTCTCCAATCACAAATGCAGACATGGTTTTATGTTTACGCAGCGCGAAGCGTAAAAAGAAAGAATAAGTCATTATAATCAGTAATTATGTCCCCACTGGATGCAACAAATGCCTCCTTTGTAATGGGTTTTATTGGTTTTGTCTCGTCTTGAGGTATTCGGCCAATCACAACGCACTGGATAGCTGGCCAATCACAGCACACCTTGCTATTCAGACCGATGAGCTTTGTAAAAATCAACTTGTTTCAGAAATGTGGGGCATAGAGGAGAAACAATAATGTACAGTATGTGGAAAATAATGTGTTTTTTGAACCTTAAACCGCATAAACACATTTCATTACACCAAATACACAAAATAATGTTCTTTTTAGCAACATCATATGACCCCTTTAATATTAACAGACACTAGTACGTATTATGTATTGTATTGATTTAAGTGTAGACCTACTTTTCATTTATTCATCCCAAATTTGGCAAATTTTGTGACATTCCGCATTATACTGTAAATTCCATTTTAATGACTGGATTCCTCGTGGAAATCATAGGGCCCTAATGAGTCCTGTGCAGTATTTCAGTAACCTGCAGTCAGTTGAGGGGGCAGTTTGTGTTTGTGTTTGTGTGGTGCAGGGTGGGATATCTGGCTGGTTGTCTGGTCCAGGCTCTCATTGAAAGACAGCCGGAGCTCCTCATAACGAAGCAGGATGTGCTGTGTGTGCAGATTGCAGGCCTGTGCCATGACTTGGGTGAGTGACGCTCGTGTTCAGAAACGTGAGAGAGCTTGGCTTCTTCACTAGGTTTCCTCCCTTACAGCAGAACACATTCAGATTTACATGCATCACATCTCTGATCCGAGAAGAGAAGCTGCGAGTCACAGCACATCCACACCGCAAGTGAGTCATTCTCGTTACAATCAAATGATGAAATGATTAATTTAAAAGAACATTTTAACCCTCTGGGGTCTAAGGGTGTTTTGGGGCCCTGGAGAAGTTTTGACATGCCCTGACATTGGTGTTTTTGTCAGTATCATAAAATATTAATGGCTAAAGTCTGATAACACCGTATTCAGCACAAACTAGGCTACAATAATATGTAAGCAGCATGAAAGTACATGTTTGTGTTTTTGAGAAAACAATGTTTATGCGTGATTAGTGAAAAACTAAATTTATTAAGTCACTGAAATAAAGCCATAAAACACATACAGAATATTTGTCCACAAGACTTTTGAGAACTGGATGTGGTAGACTAGAGCTTTTGCTACAAAATGATGTGAAAATCATCCTGTTCACTCGTCACAAGAAACAATATATTGATTTAACTTTTGTGAGACATGTTTTGTGATAGAATGCCCGTATGCGAGGGAGTGACAATGAATATTGTTACAACCACTTGGCTCTAAGTGAAGCAAAACTGCCAAAAAGGGAGGCCAAACATAAGAATAAAAGTTTATGTAAACTTTTAATAAAAAATTAATCAAATAATAATACAAAATTATAAGATATAAAGAAAAACAATTCAGGGCTGAAGAGGAAAGGATGAACGCCTGCAGTCAAACTCATTAGGGTTTATCCCAAATGCAATTACAGGTAACACGCCACACCTGTTTCAGACTCACGCTCTGAAGGAGACCAGATCACGGAACAGCTCCACCTAGTGGATAAATACAAAAAACCTTGGGCCGTAACCCCCCCCCCCCCTTAAAACAGAGGCCCCTGAAAGGGGAACTCTGTAACGCACAAGTAATAATACAAACCCAAAAAAAACATCAATAATAATGATAACATAAACTATGAAATTTTACATCAAATAATCAAAAAAATCACTTTGGACGCATATAGACAGAAAGCACAGACTAGAGTGAGGCAGATAGCACCATAATGCCAGAAGAACATTAAGAGCCTTCCTGTATTTACAAACCAACTAAATAAACTCACCCCTAGTCTTCAGTACGCCCACATGCAGCTCAGCGGCTAACCCGTCTACCCGTGTCCGACATAACAAAAACAACAAACAGCGTTAACCGCTCTACACCCTATCATGGGAGTTCACATGGCTCTGGCGGTCCAACCCGTCTCATTAATACTTTTTGGCATTTACAGCGCAAATCTCTCACTCACCTCTAGTCATATACGACAAAACTCTGCTGGAAATCTTTTCCTCTTCAGCCTAGCAAATATTTTACCAACATCCGAAAACTACTGAGCCTCTCTCAGTTTGATCTCAAGCGAGCCCCCACTTCACCTAGTGGATAAATACAAAACACCTTTGTGCCGTAACAATATTTAGTGATTCACACCTGAGAGACAAAGGGCCTCCCATAATGGGCCATCAATATGAATGTGAATGAGGCAGGTAAGAAAGAGTGTGAGGAGAGTAAAATAATGTGGGTTTTTGATTATTTCTATTTAATTTACAACGCAGTTTAAAAAAAATATACACACTGAAGGTCAAGGACACATGATTGAACATACTGATCTGAACACTGAGACTTGCACAGTAACAAACCTTTGTGCCAAACGTTCCTAGACTCTAATAACATTCATAGTGTTAACACTACTTTTATATCATGCAGTTTTATATTGTATATAAAACATGAAGCAAACATCCTGGTGTTGTGAGACATTTAGAAAATGAAATGACACATATTTCAAAATGTTTTGCTTGATTTCATACATGTAGTCATGTACTAGTAGAATATGTATGTTATGTCACAACACAATAACAACAGATGCAAGTAATCTTAGGCTACTCATCAGAATGATATCCTCCACTGGATCCAGCTGCACAACGCATCGTGTTGTGTTCTTCCTCTGAGGTAAATTCTGGGTTATTCCTCTCAGCGCGTCTTCTTCCAGAAACAAACAAAAAGTAGCCGGGATGAACTCTTTGTTTACGGATGATGTGGGCGTTTACATGTGCGCGCGTCTCACGTGGATGTTTAGAATCTGAAAAGCGCGATCGGCTTGTGAGCGTGATCGCATTAGAGATGAGTTCAGATGGGAAAACTGGACATCGCGTTGGTTTCATACGGATTACTTTAACAGGGAATATTTGTTTTGGACGTGACTTACTTTATTTAAAAGTAGACATTTTAAGCTTTCTATACATATATTTCTCGTGTCTTTGAGGCAAGTATTCACGGAGATTCATGTTGTTTTATTTACGTGTCTGTGAAGAGAGGTGACAGAGACCGAGACGGCACAGAGCGTACTCTGTTTATTTTCTTTATTTTACAAAAGCAGATTGTTTTGTTGTTATTATGACTATACACAAATAAAAGTAGACCATTTGCAGTTTCAAACGATACCTTATTCTAATCTGTACGATAAAAAATTACGGAGTATTTTTATTTCTTTTCGCGGTTATAAAGAAAATACGAGACCGACCGTACCAGTGCAGGCTTCGACCCCAGGGGGTTAATCATCAGGATACTTTCTGACATTTGATGACCGACTTCCGGCCTTCCTTCCAAACAGACTTCTCACACTATCTCATGTTCTTTTTCAGGTTCAAATGGGCGGATCAGATTTCCCAAGTTATAACCGCTAATGGCTTTAATGGGTTTGCATCTTCATTCCTTGATAGCCTCTTGTCTTTTGTTCAGGTCACGGGCCGTTTTCTCACATGTTTGATAGCATGTTCATCCCTAAAGTTCGACCTGGTGAGAAATGGAAGGTATGTGAGGGAAAACCGTCAGCAGCATAAGACCATGCATGTGATTGGGCCATTTTCTAAGCAGCTTGACTGCATTCCTCTAGTCGTGTGCACAGTTCTTGATCCTCAGGGATCTAAGAGCTGACCTTGTGTGGAGTTAGCTTTGAGCCAGATGTTGTAATGACTTCTGCTGGTGTTCCCCGCAGCACGAGATAGCCTCGGTTAAGATGTTTGACCACCTGGTGAAGGTCAACAGTCTGGAGGAGGTCATGGTGCACCACGGGCTGACTCTGCCTGACGACCTGAATTTCATTAGGGAGCAGATCATCGGGCCGCTGGACAACCCCATCTTGAACAGATCGGTGTGTCACTGTTATCAGCTGCTGCCTTGTGTACGTTACGACAAATCATCGCTTGACATCAACATCACACTCTCGTTTTTCCAGAGCTTTGATGTTGCTGTTTAAAAAAATAAAAATAAAAATCCAGGTCAAAATAATGTGGCTATAACTTTGATACAATATCAGTGTTATTTGATAACTTTCCCAACCCACTATTTCCATTAAAACAGTATATTAACTAGGGCTGGGCAAAATTTTTTATTTTTTCATTAATAGTTCTTTTTTAAAAATGAGGTCGATTCGATATTGATTCTCAAAAGCCGCGAATCGTTGACATCAATGAATGAATGGCGGATGGCTTGACACACTGTTTTGTTAGTTTACTAAAGTGTTGATGACGCTCGCGGTGTTTTCAGTCTCTGTCGTCTCACTATATGCCGATAAAACACTCGAATATCATCTCCAGCTGCTCTGACAGTCACTTCATTAGCATTTTACCGTTTAATTTGAGAAAACTACCGTCATATCACATACACAGCAGCTGCAAGTTCTTCACGGCAACCCGTCAAAATAAAAGTTTGGTTTAATGTGAAGAAACTTTGACAGAAAAAGGCTATATTACTATTTTGCAGTCTTAAGACTCAATGTAACAACAATACTACTACTACTAAATATTAATAAAACTTTATTTTTAAAGGAATAATCACATTTCTGTCACAGCTCTGTTGTTTTCTTTTTAATTTTAACAGTAAAACTCTGTTGTGCAGCACTTTGCCAAAAAATAAAAGGGTTTAATTTTCATATGATTAGGATCAATTAAATTAATGTTTTATGCCTTAATTTGATTACTAGAACAATTAAGAAAAACATTTTATAGGTGTCACGAATCCGGTCCATGAACTTCTGTCTGCTAGCCATCAGAGGTCACCCTTTCCATTTTCATTGACTCTCGCACTACACTCTTAAAAATAAAGGTGCTTCAAAAGGTTCTTCAAGCGATGCCATAGAAGAACCATTTTTGGTTCCACAAAGAGCCATCCAGTCAAAGGTTCTTTAAAGAACCATCTCTTTCTTGCGTTTTTGTAATCTGAAGAACCTTCTTTCGCCACAAAGAACCTTTTGTGAAACAGAAAGGTTCTTCAGATGTTAAAGGTTCTTTATAGAACGATTTAGACAAAAAGGTTCTTCTATGGCATCGTGAAGCACCTTTATTGCAAATAAGGCAACAAAGCCTTTACACAAATGGTTCATTTGTGTCATTTTCTCACTCTCACACCTTTCCAAACCTGTGTGAGTTTTGTTCTGGGGAACACTGTATGTGTCTGTACTGTACAGCTTCAAAACGGACATGCAAGCAGCGGCACAGTAAACCTGACACTGCTGTAGTCCCAGCCTGCTGAAGCGATGGGTCAAGCCACCGTTATTTATATTCATCGAGTCCTGGCTTTAGAAACCATGGAGGCTGTGTGCATGGTTTACTCTTTTCTAAAAGCTTCCCAAGCAGTGTGTTACTGAGTCTGTTAATGGATGTCTGTCATCGACTCAAGGCATTATTCTTCTAACCCTGCAGTGGCCATATGAGGGCAGGCCGATGGAGAAATCGTTCCTGTACAAGATAGTAGTAAACAAAAGAAACGGTATCGATGTGGATAAGTGGGACTACTTCGCGAGGTGAGATGCAGTTTGCACCGAGCTAATGATGATGTTTCCAGCATTCGTCTGACTGAAGATGTTTGTTTGGACAGGGATTGCTATCATCTCGGCATTCAGAACAACTTCGACTACCGGCGCTTCCTCAAATTTGCGCGAGTGTGTGAAGTGAGAGGAAAGAAACACATCTGCACCAGAGACAAGGTACATTGAGCAGTTGTTACACTGACTCCGTGTATATTCATTGATTTAGTTTATTGACCGATTTCAGTTCAGAATATCATGGTTTCTCCAGAGGATGTTTTCTGTATCTGTCACCTGATGGAGCACGGTTTGCTTGCTGCTGTCACCTGTGACTTGCTTAGCTGGCCTTTATAAGACGTTTAACTTTCAGTAACAATATCAACAGTGCTGACACTACCGTGTGAGAACAAAACCTGGGGCCGTATGTATAAAGCCGCTCAGAGTAAAATTTTTGTCTTAAGTGTGTCAAAATTCAGAGAATGACGTAATTTTACTCTTATTCCTAGACTTAAGAATAATAGTGATTCATAAAATGTTAAGACTAGGTCTCAGCTCCTAAATTATTTTAGAGAGCTGGAGCGGTCTCCTAACCTAGTTAGCAGTAACAAGATGGCAGCAAAGAGGAGACAAACACTTTCCAACAAAGATATGACATATTAGAGTTACATGATGATATGGAGTTGATAAAATGATACAAACTTGATTGTCAAGATAGCCAATTTGTTTTTGTAACTGACAAAGGAAGAAATTTAATAACTTCTTCCACTCTACAAGTCAATGCTCTAACTGCAGAAATGAAAGTAGTAAGTACATTTTTTGGCTGGAAAATTGGAAAAATGCAGCAATGCACCGGTGATGACACGGTAAGCAGGGTCTTACATATTGTGGCACTAACCCCACCAAACACAACAGTGGCCAAAAGTAATGTGTGGAGGTTTTTTTTTTTATGACCCCACATTTCACTTAAACCGTTAAAATACAAAGGGAAAAAAACACTGACCAGTGTTGCCAACTGCTTTCAATTGAAATTAGCTAAAACTGGTCACTTAATGTTGCTAGATGACCTCATAAAGGTGGGTTCACTGATCTATATTTATATTTATAAACTCGCCTTTATGACGTCATAGGAGAGTCTCGGAATGGAGATAACGTTTGTCCAAGAAATTGATTTTGTTGCTTGGCTTTTGAAAAAAAGTCTCTAAAGGTTTGAGGAAGTCACTAAATCTAGTGGCAAAATCACTAAATTGGCACGTTGACTACAACATACGTTATTTACATTTCATTGGTCCTCTTGTTTTTGCATGTTCATAATTTCTTTGTATGCCAGCATGGCACAAAATTATGACCGCACAATTTGGCTTGCTTCATTGTATTATTATCACAAATTATTTTTATTTTATTTTTTTAACCAAGGGTGAATATGTCAAATTTCCTAGGCCGGACATCACTTTTGACCACTACTATTTGACAGTTCATTGACTTTCCAACTAACTGCCAAACCATGCTGCAAAAACAAGCCACTTTTATGAGTATTGTGGGCTTTCCTGGAGTTACTGGAGCCATTGATTGAACTCATGTTCACATCATTGCTCTAACTGTAAACGAGGAGACATACCAATAGAAAACGAAGCATTAGTAATAATTTGTGATAATTTTTATCATTTAATTATTAAAATATTTGTGTCTTAATTAAATGGTTTTATTGTAGTTACATAAAATGATTGTGCAGCCTCCTTATTGGCTGATTCAGAGGTTGAGGTCGGCCATTTTGTGTTGACATCATTGTAGTCCATAGTTCACAACACTTAAGTGTCACCTCAGTCAACACATAAGAATCAGTCTTAGACTTTACTGAAAGTTGCTTTTAGCTTCTTTATAAAAGGCTCCTACTCTTAGAAAAGTCCTAGTTTTTACTCTGAATTTTTTGACACTTAAGTCAAAGCTTAAAGGGCTCATATGATGCTACATGCAATTTTGCAAGTTGTTTGAACTGAAATGTGTGTTGGCAGTGTGTGTACACAACCACCCTAAAATGATAAAAATCCACCCAGTGGTTTTTTTTAATCTGTTCAAATCTTTACCCCTTTCTTAAATCGAGCCGGTCTCAGATGCCTGTCTGTGTGATGTCACAAAAACAGGCCCCTCCCACGATAGTTTGATTGACGGTAGCGTTTCAGCACAGACTGGACTGGTGTCTTACCTTAGCTCTGCCCTGAGTGAGCTGTAAACAGTCGGCCATTGTTTCACCGCCGGAGCAGATGTAGACAAGAATGACTCCTAAGTGATTGAGGTCTTCTGTTGTTGGATGTAATAATGAACATAGCAGTCGTCATGTACTCCCGACATCTGAGCCGCTGAACTCGCAGTGGATTACATTTGTTTCTGAAGGGCATGCGCCCCAGATCTACATAAATGCGTCTATGTTCTCGCAAATCATTCGTGATCCACCTTCACCTACAGAAGTGAGTGTAAGGTTTTTTTAACTAATCTTTGCAAATCGCCTTTCCTAATAATGTGCTAATTAGCAAGTTTCAGCTAAAGTAAACAGTCACTCAGAGAACGGCTCGGAAGAGAGTGGCGGGGTCAGCAGAGCTCATTAAAATTTAAAGGAAAATGCTACAAATCTGCATGCTCTGAAAAGAGCTGTTCTTGACAGGGTAAAAAAGGTGTTTTTTACACTACCATTGAGAAATTTTAACCAAACTATGTTACAGACTTTTCATTAAAGGGGTCATATGTGTTTTTTGAACTTTAAACCGCATAACCACATTTCATTACACCAAATACACAAAATAATGTTCTTTTTAGCAGCATCATATGACCCCTTTAAGACCCTAAGAATCATATCAACTTGTGGAAAATGGGCATCCGATGACCCCTTTAAGACTATTCTTAAGAGCATTTCTGAGAAGTTTTATACATACGGGCCCAGAACTGAACTGAGCCTGTTGTCTTTTTAGAGCAGCTTGAAGCTGAATTTGTATTGACAGACATGAAATCTTAGTTGATGTTGCTCATGACACGCTGTGACTTCTTGATTCACCTGTAGTCTTTTTTTTTTTTTTGAGCAGGTGTGATCTGGGCCCGTATTTATCAAGCCTCTGAAAATTACTCTCAAGAACGCTGCTAAGAATTGACTTAAGCGTTAAAAACATTCTTGGCTCAAAGCTGCGCTTAAAAGTTAGTTATCAAGCATCTCGGTTGTAATTTAAGCGAAGTGTGGGACTAAATCTTAAGTGTCAGTCTTAGAGTTGATTCACGACACTTCGCTGTGCCACAAACAGGATTTTTGGACCAATCACTGAATAGATTTCCTTATTTAAGAATATTCTTAGATAAATTCACATTGAATGGTTAAATTCCTAATAGGAGTTTACATTCAACACACATATGACAATAAAGAATTTTCAAGAGAATACATTATGGTAAGGAAACAAATCGTCATCACAACCTTCAATTTAGGGTTGTGCCGGTAGACGATATCTTGTATTAATGATAGTCAGAGATATCGCCTGTTTCTGATTTCTTTGATGACAGCAAGACGATTATTATTATTATCTGTCAAAAATATAGGCGCCTATCTTTAGTGATGCAGTGCGGAGAGCTGCTTCAGAAACTTGCTGGGATCAGCTCCGGTGACCGTGTCGGAGCCGTAACGCACCGCAGACGTGTGCAGTGTAAATAAGGGGTAAGAGATTTATTCATGATACAGTGTATGTAGCTTCACTGATTATAACGGGAGTTTTTTTAAAGGGGTCATATGATGCGATTTAAATTTTTCCTTTCTCTTTGGAGTGTTACAAGCTCTTGGTGCATAAAGAAGATCTGTAAAGTTGCAAAGACTAAAGTCTCAAATCCAAAGAGATATTCTTTATAAAAGTTAAGTCAGCCACGCCTACCTAAAACGACTCGTTCTAACACGACCCACATATCTACATCGCTATGTGGGAAGATTTGCATAACGCCGCCTGCCGGCTGTTCTGACTCACAGTCTGTAAGTACGTTTTCATTTAAAGAATTTGCCACCGATAATTCAAACGTGAGTTTTGGGCAGTGTAGAGTAGCACTTGTTATTTGACATTTCTCCGATCACAAATGCAGACATGGTTTTATGTTTATGTGGCGTGATGCAACGCAACACGTAAAAAGACAGTATAAGTCATTATAATCCATAATTATGTCCCCACTGGATGCAACAAATGCCTCGTTTATAATGGGTTTTAATGTTTTTGTCTCGTCGCTCTGGCCTGACAGGGCATCATCACAGTATGGTGAGGGGCGTAACATTTTCGTCACACGCTTGAGGTATTCGGCCAATCACAACGCACTGGATAGCTGGCCAATCACAGTACACCTTGTGTCATAAACCACGCTGGACTTGCACTCTGTTTAGATGCTGTTTAATGAACACTTCCGTATACATACATACGCATATGTAATAACCAATAAGAAAGCTTGTTACAAACCCATATACTATTTATCACATCTTCCCCCTTTTTGGCGAAGTATGTTACTTTTTAACAAACATAATTAGATCAAAAGTTAAATTACACTGCTGATAACATCACAAACATAAAACATTATGCAAAATGAATATTTCCACAAATAAAGTCTCTGTAATGCATTAATTAGATAACAAGAAAAGGGAAAAATAAAAGCGCAATGGCTTTCTTATCACTCGCCCACACCGTGTAGTCTTAGGTGACACTACATGTTGTGGAGTATGATGCACAGCTGCCGTAGGATCGTAATATGCCAGCACTGGGGCCACAACTAACATTTCTTTCACTTTTGTGAACGCCTCCTCTTGACTCTTGTACCACCTCCATACTGTGTCAGCTCTCAGTAGCTCATTCAACGGCTGTAACACGGTAGCGCTGTGTGGCAGGTAACGGCAAAGGTAATTAATCAAACTCAGCATCCGTTTGAACTCAGTCAGATTTTGGGGTTTGCTGAGGTCCCGGATAGCATGGACCTTTTCTGGGTCGGGTCTAATGCCCTCTTTACTGAGACGATGTCCCACAAAACCCAATTCCTTCTGACCAAAAATGCATTTTTCCTTCTTCAGCTTCAGCCCTGAGGCATGGATAGCATTCAGCACTTCATCAAGTCTATGGTCATGTTCTTCACGAGTATGACCATATACTAAGATGTCGTCCTTATAGCAGCATACTCCCTCGACATTCTGAAGTAGCTCACTCATGCGTTTCTGAAATATCTCTGGAGCGCTAGTTATGCCGAATGGCAAGCGATGGAAACAGTACCTCTTGAAGGGGGTTATAAAAGTAGTCAACCACTTGCTAGCGTCGTCTAACGGTATCTGCCAGAAACTGCTGGCAGCATCAAGGCTAGAAAAGACTGTCGCCCCTGCCAGTTTAGAAGTGATGTCATCCAAGGTTGGCAAAACATACTTTTCATGAATGACGACTTTTAGTCGTTTGAGGTCGACACATATTCTAATGTCTCCATTCTTTTTGGCGACCGGCACCATTGGGGCACACCATGGAGTGGGCTCAGAAACCTCTTCAATCACGCCCAGCTGCTCCATTCTGTCCAGTTCTTGTTTTACCTTCGTAAGCATTGGGATTGGTACTCTACGAGCTACATGAACGCTGTATGGCTCCGCTGTACTTTTAAGCATTATTTTAACTGGTTCGCTTGCCATCAGTCCCAAAGAGCCAAACACGTTCTCTCTTATTTCCTCTATTCTTTTTATTAGCCTCATTTGAATTGCAGCACTGCGTCCTAGCAGATTCCCAACATGGGCTCCTCTCACCACATATGCATTCATCATGTACATATTTTTTTTTACATTTACTTTCGTCTTCAGCTTGCCACCAGGACTGTTCAGTATGACATTTGTTTTGCTCAGTGGTATCTTATTTTTCAGGCTTTCATAACTTTTCTCAGATATTATGGTGGCATCTGCACCAGAATCAATTTTGAATTTGATTATTTGGTCTTCCATAAGGATGTCAACTGTCCATGGTGGAATGGGTGCATCCTTACTTTGAACAGAGCCCAATAACATTGCTGACCCTGCATCTTCATAAGATGTTACGTCTTAGTGTGGCAGACTACAGTGAAATGGCCAATCTTTTTACACTTTCGACATTCAGCTTTTTTGGCAGGACAGTGCTCGCTCTGATTATGTGTTTTGTTGCATCTTGTGCATTTTTTCCAGTCACTCCATTCGTTTCTATAGCCTTGTCCTTTTCTCTGTCTATCAGTGCTAATTTTCCTTCCTCTGCCACGATTTTGTTGGGGAAATTTAACCTCTTCTAATTTACTTTCGCTTTGCTCCGCATTTTGGTTTTTAATGAGCTCGTGGCTACGTGCCATTTCAATTGCTCTAGAGAGCGTCAGTATTCCTTGAAGCTGCAGCTTTTCTGACAGAGATTTGTCTCTCAATCCGATCACAATCCAGTCTCGGATATATTCATCTTTTAGTTAGCTAAAATCACAATGTTCTGAGAGCTCATAAAGTCCTCTTACGAACGCTTCTACTGTCTCTCCATCTCGCTGACACCGCTGATGAAAGTGTGCGCATTCATATATCACGTTTCTTCGGGGACATTGCCGTCCTCCAGTGATAATTTGGTGGATGTTCTGTAATGCATGAATCTCTACAGTTTCCACTCCGGCCATTCGCTCGGCCTTTCAAACGGGAAACTTTCTGGTGGCAAAAATTTGAGCATATTCTCGACTGTGCAGCTCTTTACTTATAGGGGCAAAATAGCAACAGTCTGTCAGAGTCCACTGAGCTAAGATCCCTCTTCTGACACCATGTCATAAACCATGCTAGACTTGCACTCTGTTTAGATGCTGTTTAATGAACACTTCCTTATACGTACATACGCATATGTAATAACCAATAAGAAAGTTTGTTACAAACCCATATACTATTTATCACACCTTGCTTTTCAGACCGATGAGCTTTGTAAAAACCGACGCGTTTCAGAAAGGCGGGGCATAGAGGAGAAACAATAATGTACAGTATGTGGAAAATAATGTGTCTTTTCTCATTAGACTGAAGTCAGTGATAATGTTCTTTGGTTATGCAAATATTCTTTGCTAGTTTCTGTTTGAATAACTGAGGAAATGTAACTGTTTTATTAACTGCTCGTCGTCAAACATTTCAAGAACATTCTTCCTCTTCTGAAAGATTTGTGCATCACAAGCCCCTACTGGCAACTCCTAACCACTTGAGAGACCTCTCGAGCTGTCTTAAATAACTGGGAGAGTAAGAGTAATTCTTAGATTTAAGAAATTTGATAACTTGCTTTTATAATTAAGTTTGAAAGTAGGAGTAAATTTAATGAATTCTCAGCACTTAAGACTAAAATGGCACTTTGAGAGGCTTGATTAAATACGGGCCCTGGTTCAGAAGTGTTTCTGTATCAGGCAGAATTTCAAAGCAGTATAAAAGCCGTTCTGATTTTTTATGTTGATTGTTTTACTGTTGGCAGGAAGTTGGCAATCTCTACGACATGTTCCACACTCGTAACTGCCTCCATCGCCGGGCGTATCAGCACAAAGTGGGCAACATCATCGAGACCATGTGTGTATTCTCCTCACTGAACCACACATTGTCCTGTTCACAGCTTCAGTGCGATTGAAGTGTTCTGTCCTGGTTGTTTCATATCAGGATAACGGAGGCTTTTGTAAAAGCTGATCCTCATATTCAGATCCAGGGCTCTTCTGGGAGGATCTTCAGCATCTCTTCAGCTATAGACGACATGGAGGCCTACACCAAACTCACAGGTGCCTCACCTTTCCGTGTTACATGACTTCTAACATTCTATTCTATTTCTATTCTAACTACTTGTTTTCTTAAAAAACAGCCTCTATCTCTAGTGTTCTCTATTCTTTTTCTATTCTATCTACTTGTTTTGTTTTTATTTATTATAAAAAAGAGCCTCTAACACTAGCATTCTGCATTCATTTTTCTATTGTTTTGACTTGTTTTTTTTATTTTAAAAAAGTCCCTCTAAGGGGACTTTATTTTTCCCTATTCTTTTTATTTATTATAAAAAAAAAAACTTACTATACTGTGTTAAGCAATGCTATACTGTGTTAGCCGAGGCTTGATTTTGAAATATGAAATGATTTAAAGAAAAGTAAAAAAGAAATGATACTATAAATATGAAACTAAAACTGCCAGTAGGTGAAAGCAAGTCACGGTTTTAATCATCATTCATTCAACTGATTCGTTCAGACTTCTGATTCATTCAATCGACTCTCTTTATGAATGGATCACTGAATCAGTGGCTCACGCAATTCATTCGGTAATGTCGCTGTGTTACTCGAAAAAGCACAACAGTTCTACATTTTCACACGATATTAGTGACTTTATTTATTGAACTGTTGCATAAATTCTATGTAACATTTGGAATTGTGCAGATATTTGGTATAAACCAGTACTCTTGTTGTGTGATATTGTTTAAATATGTAATATAAATATAAGACACCGCTGCATCCAGAGGCATGTTTAGCACTTGGATCTTGAACTCTGCATTCACAGACTCATCAGTCTACAGGTCTGGGCGGCGGCTGCGTTAAATGCCTGGTTGGAATGTGTTATTTTTTTTCCAAAATTAATTAATGTGTTGTCAACAGCCCTAATTAGTATAGTTACCAAATTGCTATTTACAGTCAAGTTTATTCCCCATTGGTGTGTTTGGCCCTATAATTGCTGCTCTCTTGCAAATTTGCTGAAATGTAATTTTGTAATAAAAAAATATTATATATTACATCAATCAATCAATCAAATATTCAGAGCAAAGAGAAGCTGAAGGATGATTATATGTGACCCTGGAGCACAAAACCAGTCATAAGGGTAATTTTTTTTAAATTGAGATTTATACATCATCTCAAAAGCTGAATAAATAAGCTTTCCATTGATGTTTAGTTGGTTAGGAGAGGACAATATTTGGCTGAGATACAACTATTTGAAAATCTGGAATCTGAGGGTGCAAAAAAATCTAAATATTGAGAAAATCATCTTTAAAGTTGTTCAAATTAAGTTCTTAGCAATGCATATTACTAATCAAAAATTAAGTTTTGATATATTTACTGTAGGAATTTACAAAATATCTTCATGGAACATGATCTTTACTTAATATCCTAATGAGTTTTGGCATAAAAGAACAATGGATAATTTTGACCCATACAATGTGTTGTTGGCTATTGCTACAAATATCCCCCAGCGACTTAACACTGCTTTTGTGCTGCAGGGTCACATATATAAGATATAATATATTTGATGCACATCTGGTTTTCTCTCAACAAGACACATGGACTGTGTTTATGTCTGTACTCCACATGATGGGCATTTTGACATAATTCAGTGTGTATTTGAACTGAATTGGTGAGAGATGCTCTCTCTGTGTGTGAGAGAGAGTCGGTGTGAGTTCTTTTCACTGATTAATTACTCTTTAACATCACGCATGTCCCGCTCTTTATTTTCTCATTCACACATGTTTCTTTAGTGATCTGACATGTCAAAGTATTAGTGCTGTTCTATGTGGATATAAATGATCAAAATCATTTATTCTAGAATTAGAAAGCATATTGCTCACTGGCTTTGTTTACATGCACAGCTTTTGTTTCAATCGGACTGAATTCATTCCAATTGATGAATCTGAATGTAGTGTTTACTAGAGTGTTTACATGCGCTCTCGCCGTATTAGAAAAGCAATAAACCACCCCTTACAATCCGGTCGAAATCTGATTCAGATCGAGCTCAGTCGGATCGAGTGAGGTGTTTACATGAAGTCTTTTCAGCCCGATTGAGCCGTCAATCCCATTACAAACGGATTATTTGGTTGCATGTAAACGTAGCCAGTGTTATACACTCACATTCTGTTGCGCTGAAAGATGCACATGTTTGTAACGAATCAGCTCGTGGGAAATATGAATAATTAACCGTAACTAGTTATAATTAATTATGAATATTTTAGATCTCTGTAGATATTTAGCTGACCTCTCAGGGTCAACTGTCTTGTCAATTCTAAGAACGTTAATTTCCTGGTTAAGGGAAATAAATTTCTTACTGTACAATTCTACAAAAGCTTGTAGCATAAATCTGCATGATTAAGTGACTCCAGTTATAAGCAAACAATGAACCACGTCAAGTGTGATACAAGTAAGGTTTTATTAACTACATAAACACTTAAACTAGTCTAACATACTACATAAACACATAAACTGGTCTAACATCCTACATAAACACATAAACTGGTCTAACATCCTACATAAACACATAAACTGGTCTAACATACACATACACACACACACACACACACACACATAACGTTTACGAATGAGACTTTATTGTAAAGTGGTCTTTATAGTTCTTTTGCACTTTAATCTTTATGAAACATTTGATTACCTTGAACATTTAAATACGATAATGCAGTACACAAAAAATTAGTTATTTTTGGGATTGGAAAAAAGGTTTAGACCTTTTTGCAACATTTCAATATTGTGACTGAATACCGTGATTTAAGCTTCAGCAATTATTTCAACAGGAAAATTTGATACATCATATGCCTAATTTGAACATTTCTCTCAGTGATCCCCTCCCAAAAAACAAAAACAAAACACAAGCCTAGAAAGTTGATTATGGATTAATTTCCATATTAAATGAGAGAGTGTTTATGTTTAGTGTAGCGTCTTGACCAATCTGACACACTAATTTTAATTTGATTTACCAAATCAATTATTCATTAGATTAACAAATCGTCACAGTCCCCTCACTCAATAAACTGGATGCCAGGATGTCTGCTGAACACCAGGCCCTCTGGTCACCATGACAACTAATCATGATATCACTGGTTTTATGACCCCCCAGGAATGTGAGTAGGATAGCCCACTCTCCTTAACCAGGAAATTAACGTTCTTAGAATTGACAAGACAGTTGACCCTGAGAGGTCAGCTAAATATCTACAGCGGATCTAAAATATGAATAGTTAATTATAACTAGTTATGGTTAATTATTCATATTTCCTGTCATGAGCTGATTTGTTACATTAGATTGTATTGCTTCTAGTCCCAAAGAAGATATCCTCTGTATATAGTTTGTGGGAAATGCATGTTGTTTGAGGAAAGATGTTGTACGTTTGAGCATTGCCTGACTAATTTTATAACCCAGACAAAATGAAGGCCTGTGTTCCTGATGTCCGTGTGGTGTAACAGGTGTCCAAACTGCTGCCAGAGTGCTTCGCCGAGCAGCTGATCAGGGTTTACTTTAAGAAGACAGATGACAAGAGCCTAGAAGCTGCTAAGAAGTACTTTGTCCAGTGGTGCATGGACAGGAACTTCACCAAACCCCAGGCAAGACTTGGCTTTTCCAATTTTGTAGTCATTCAAGTTTCAGTTTTATTTCCAAATATACTTGGTACTTTGAGCAATGGACTTGTCAGATATATTTCAGATGCTAGTTTGGAGAATTCTGAACAGAAACTGTATATTACCCAGTTAATAAGTACATAGTACAGCGGTTAAAATAAGTATTGAGCACATCACCATTTTTCTCAGTAAATATATTTCTAAAGGTGCTGTTGACTTGAAATTTTCACCAGATGTCGGTAACAACCCAACTAATCCATACATACAATACAAATAAGTTTAGAAATTAAGTCCTGTGTAATAAAGTGGAATGACCCAGGGAAAAAGTATTAAAGTAGAGACCTGCACTCTGCCAACCCTGAAACAACTTACAGAACTACCACATTTTGCTATAAGTTTGATTGCATCATATAATAATTGCTGTTAATATTGTTCATCGTCTGTTTTATTACGTCTTAAATGGATTTTTCCATACTGCTGATTCGTCTGGTCAGAGGAGAACTGGCCCCCAACTGAGCCTGGTTTCTCCCAAGGTTTTTTCTCCATTCTGTCACCGATGGAGTTTTGGTTCCTTGCTGCTGTCGCCTCTGGCTTGCTTAGTTGGGGACACTTCATTTCCAGCGTTATCGTTGACATAATTGCAAAGATATTATTTAAACTGAGCTGGATGATGACATCACTGAATTCAATGATGAACTGTCTTTAACTGAAAAATTTGT